TTCTGAGCTGTGGCTAAAAGCGATGTGCAAAGAACCCGAAGCCCAGCAAAGCAGACAAACCTCAACCCTGAAGCCTTGGACCTCAAGCGTCAACAGTTCCCAACTCCCAACTCATTTCGCCGCATAACCGGCAATGCTCTGACCGGACAGCAAAGCTTCGTAGAAACGTGTGTGAGGGTCCGAAAGCATTCAATCTCCTGCTGACGGCTTTGCGTTGTGGTTCAGGGTGCTGGGTCGGAAATCTGGTGACAATGGTTCAAAGTGGACTTACCCGGTGTGAAATTGAATACCAGCCTCCCATGCTTGCCTGAGCTCGAACCTGCGCCAATGCTAACTGCAGGTGAAGTCTTTCCGAGAGGACACCTCCGTGCACACTTCGGTTCGGCTAACTCTAGTTATCTTTCTAAGCGGATGTGGTTTTACCGGATAAGAGTCGGCTTTCTCACGTTCCTATGGGGAGTCTGACCAGCTAAGCCTAGCTGCCCGCAGAAAAAATAGAAGCACCAGCAAGCTTTACGGCTAGACCTATCCCTAGTCAACCTCTAACGTATCCCTCAACCCTAGCTAAACCTTACCATAGTAGTCCTTATGTCAACCCTATCAGTCAGTGTTGTATTCCAAGCTGGAGCAAAAAAAGGCAATAGTTCTGGAGCTCAGGGAGCATTGAGGAAAGGCCACCTTCCCAATTTCCCATGGGATCAAGAGCTCTTCGTTGTCGTGCTCCTATCCCATGTTCATTATCAAATCATTCTCGCAATCATCATCGCCGAATCATCGCCATCGAGGAAACAAAAGCCGCAAGCAACATCACAAACAGCTCAAAGACAGCAAGGAAGCAGACAGAGAATAACTCGGTTAAGACGTGGTACTGAACATCATGCATATTATCTATGATATATATGCTATGGGACCTAGGACAATGATATCCGTTATGCACGCCACGCTATTTGGTGCTTCCTGGCACGGACGTTCGAAGCTCCCAGTTGCTCCCAGGCCACCCTTCACGCGAAGCTACCAGTCCTAGCTAATTGAATGGCTGAGGTCTCAAAACTTGGACCTCAGATCCACCGTATGTCTCCGAAGGACAAGGGCTTCGGCTTCATCATAAGACCGGACTCCACCGAGATTTTTGTGCACGTCAAGGCCTAGTTGGGTGGGTGGGGGATTGGAGGCGGGAATTGGGTGGTTCGGCACCGGGATTGGAGTACGTTTCCTTTGCAGGATTGAGCTTGAGTAATGCGACCTCATCGTCCTACATGCCCTCGATATTCCGCTTGATGTTTGTTGTGTCCGCTCCGCAGTGTTTCACAGGTTGCTGCCAAGTCTCCCTTCGCCTAAGCCCACTCTGGGTGGCATTGGCTTGAGTGGCGTTGAGAACCGTGTTTTGCCGTTGCAAGCTGCTGTTGTATCTACGCAGTATGTCCGACCACTACTGCGGTTCTCGTTATCGTTATCACTGTCGCATATGATCATCATGATGACGATGACGAAGCGGACGAGGAGGGCCGGCCCCCAGGAAGGACATGAAGAAGTCACTGATGATGCGGGTTGATGCTGACTGCTGGCGATAGTCATGCTGACGATGACGGGCATGCTTACGCTTCACGTACATGGTTGAGATCCATTTTGTGGCTCGTACTTCAACCGTGGGTACTGCTACTACACTCAGCTTCATCTGCTTGACTCCCTGCCGCAAACCTCAAGCTCAGAAGCAAAGAAGCCACTTTGCAGTCTTTACTTCCCCCGGGCGCTGCAGAGGCAATCATCGATGGTAGCATCCTCGTGAAGGTCTGGCCACTGGCGTGCAGTCTGGGGTGTCCGACCTCAAACTGAACTCCCCAAGGGATCTTATGGTACCACTTATAGCATCACTTACCAGCCCCTTCTCTCGCCCTTAGTGCTGTAAGTGTAGGTCCCAGGTTTCGGGCTTATGCTCGAACTCGAGGCTCAGTGGTTGCAAGCATGAGTCCTCTAGTTCGCCTTCCGGGTACATAGAAAGGGCTCTCAAGGTCAGAATGATTGATGACCATAATGACGATTAGGCAGACACTCTCTGCATACACTCTACATAAACATATCTGGTGAGTTTTCATTTAGGCTTTCTTATGCAGATGCATACGTACATGCAGATGCACTGTGTGCATCCTCAGTTTGTGGATTGCTTTGTTTTTGCATGAAAGATGTCAGAAGAGCCATGCCTTGTTGCGTCAAGGGCAATAGGCTAGATCAGACTGGACTAAACTCTAAAACTCCCTCAAAGCACCCTCTCTCTCAAAGCCCATAAGCTCTGCAAAGTTGTTTTTCTGAATTGGGGTGCTGGGGGAGTAGCTGCAAACTTACTGCTTGTAGCTCGTGCAAAATAGCTCCCATACAGGATGACATCGTGCAGTTCGACATGGAAGAGAGCAAGGTGAAGCCAGGCCCTCCGGGTTCAGGGTTTAGGGTTTTCGTTTTGGGTTTAGGGTTTTGGGTTTTGGGTTTTGGGTTTTGGGTTTAGGGTTTAGGGTTTAGGGTTTAGGGTTTAGGGTTTTCGTTTTGGGTTTAGGGTGCAGCTTGGAAAGACCCCCTTGGTCATTCGAAGTTCAATGTCGACGACGAGCATCATTTCCTTGGACATGTGCTCATGGTTAGACTCACTGCTGTTATTCTGTTACCCGTGCAAGCGGTGTGATCATGGTTCCTGCTACTATGAATCATGGTTTTATTGGTGCTTTTCTGTGCTAGGCCAAGTTATCGAGTTGCCAGGGCCCTTCAGCTGCGCTTTCGAAGGAGTTTCCAATAGGCCCTCACCCCCTTCATCCACCAACAACATCGCCTTTTTGAGGATGGTTTTCAGGGTTTAGGGTTTTGGGCCCTCAGCTCTGCGCAGCTGTGTCGAAGGTTCATGTGTGCCTCGCGCCCAGGGCCGATAAAGGGTTCGTAGGGTTTGGGGTCCAGGCAAAACCTTTGAAACGAATCACAAATCCGAGTCAAAGATCTGCACCCGTCTCTGCATCTTCGAGGACAGATGCAGGCCATCAATGTCAGCGGCGGCACCGGCCAGCCAGGAGAGTGTTCAGGGACAAGGGCGACCCAAGCCCCGAACGGCATTCGGAGTCGTTGGCTTCCGGTGTCCTCGTACAGGGCTTGTCGGCCTGCGACATGTGTCAGGAGGCGGCAAAGGAAGTGGCGACTTGGCCGGAAGGTTGCAGAACTGCTGCGAATTGGTGTTTGCTACTTCGTGTATGTGCCTCGCACTGACTTGCCCATGGAGGTGGTGTTGGTAGTGGTCGTGGCGGTAGGGCAGCAAGATGGGCGAAGAGCAAAAGTAACAATGCATCATCACTAGTAGCAGTTTCCATGCGGCTAAAGCTTGTGCATGGTTCAGGACAGATGCTTCGTGAAGCGTCGCGAACACACCAAGCGGAGTAAGACATTGCAAAGGGGCCGAAACCCTAAATTCTAACCCAAAACCCCTGAGCCTAACAAGCTTACTACAGCCTTCCTGTGCCCCGTCCCTTTGAGGAAAGCCGGGATCTAGCCAGGGAACGGTCAAGAATTTCCGAGAAGACAAGGCAGGGCGATTTTGGGTTAGGGGTTTAAGGAGGCCTCCAAGGATCTGTCGCTTTAGGACATTACAGGTTTAGGACTTGGGAGGGGTTGTGAAGTTTCAGGTTAAGGGCTTGGGGCTTCTGCGTGCATGGTTGAGGGCTGAATGTCCGGAGCATTTCGACAAAATGGAAGATGCGTGCTAGGCTGGAATGCAGGACTCCAGTCAAACAGGACACTGGCCGCTGACCTGCGCGATAGAGCTTAGAAGTGCGAATGATTCAGCCTCTTTTTCAGGGGTTCCTCCTTCACGCTTCCTGAAGGCTCCTTGTTAGAGTTATTGCATTAGATTCAGAGACACCAAAACCCTGTCTCATCGAAAAGGCCCGGTACATACTATGCATTCGATATCTCCTTCAGAGTTTCAGTGCTCGGCCACAACCCCTGTACGCCGAGGAGCTGCAAGAAGCAATCGAAGGGTCTGAACAATTAGCAAACAAACCCCCTAATAGATTGAAATTCTAGTCTGATGTCCCTATAACCAGAATCTTATTCTAATATTCAAGGCTGTTACAACAGGAAGAGCAGAGCATGCAGTGGAAATGTACCGCAATGCTGCACGTGAGCGCCGATTATTCACCCACGTGCATTCCGCCACATACAGTCCCCTAAACGGCCCTGAACCCTAAGCCCTAAACCCTGAACCCTTAGGAAGCTCTGTTGATCTCTTGGGGTCATCTTGGGAGTCTGCATATTTTCCGGCAAGGCGTAGGTCGGAAACTCCTAAACCCCCCAAAGCCTTGCCCCAAGGCCTTGAGGTCTCTTACTTCCCGCAGGGGTTTAGGGTTTGGGTTTTTGGGTTTAGGGGTTTAGGGCTTAGGGTTAAGAGTTTGAGCCATTACGGCTGATGCATTTCGGGTGGAGCCAGGGTTTGGGTACTGAGGCCTCTTCAGTTTTTGGGTTTCTGACATACTGAAACACCCAGCTAGCAGCAGCTTCTGTTTTTGGCCCCAAGACGCCCTTGGATCAGGGCTTCGGTTTTATCACGCTTTCGGACGGCTCCGACCTCTTCATGCACATCAAGGTGGGCATAGCAGCACACCACTAAGAAGTTGCTTCTTCTTGCTGTCATCGAAATTATCATTACTAAACAGTTTTCTTGCTGTACTGCTACCCTTGCTACTTTGCTTGACAAACCTCCTTTGCTCCTTGTTCTCAGGTCTGTGCAGAGGCTTTAGGTTCAGGGAGAGATCCTTCGCCAGGAACCCTTTCAGGGATATTGGAGTCTCTGGGCAACCTCAGAGATAATGGGTAAGTTGCCGCACAGTTCCCCCCTCAGACTCTCAGAGTGCGGCTTTCCTGACAAAAGGGCCGAGGCGCTCTGTGACATGAGTTGACCTATCAGAAGATTACCTGAGGTTTTGGCTCTGTTAGGCGCAGACAAGCCAGCTTATGGTCAAAGCCGCCCAAGGATGTCGCGCTCACAGTTTCTTGTGCTTGCTGTCTTCGCCGCGCCGGGGATGGCCATCGACAATGGGCTTGGCCGAACTCCACCAATGGGCTGGAGGTCTTGGAACTTGTTTGGAAACAACACGAATCAGACATTCTTGCAAGCCATCATGGACGGGATGGTCTCCAAAAAGCGCTCCGTGGATGGCATTCCTACATCTCTCTGTGACTTGGGATACTGCAATGTTGGGCTTGACGAAGGCTGGGAAGACTGCACGGGGGCACACCAATTCCATTACCATGACGACTCAGGCAAGCCGCTCGTGTGGCTGGCGCGTTTTCCCAACATCACATCCATGACAGAGCATGCCCATCGGCTTGGCTTGACAGCCGGCTGGTACCTCAACGGCTGCACGTGCCCGGAGAAAGAAATCATCGACTCCATGTACGACAAAGATGTTGCTGCGCTAGTGGCATTCGGTTTTGACGCAATCAAGCTGGATAATTGCGGGGCACAGCACGACCTCGACAAGTGGGCCGGTCTCATCAACAAAACTGGACGGAAGGTGATGATTGAGAACTGCCACTGGGGCAAGACGGTGCCAACGGAGACCTGGTGCCCCTGGAACTTCTTCAGGACGTCGGGTGATGTACGGGCCTCCTACGGGAGCGTGGTCGCCAATCTTCAGACGACAGTGCATTGGGCACAGAGAAACCTTTCAAAGCCAGGATGTTGGGCCTATCCAGACATGTTGGAGGTGGCAGTTCCAAATATCTTGGCCCTCTTTAAGCCGAAGTGATCACCCGTAAAATTGAAAAGCAATGGTCTGTAGTAATAGGCCTTTGTTGTAATTAAGTGGGGCGGGGCATCTCCTGGCGGCAGGTGGGTTGCAAGAATGGGCCTGGCGGGGACCGGGATCCGGGCTTGAGCTACCAGGAGGCGCGGAGCCACTTCAGCGCCTGGTCCATCATCTCCTCGCCGCTCACCTTGTCCATGGATATCAACGATGAGGATGTCATGAATGCGGTGTGGGGCATCGTGTCCAACAAAGAGGTCATCGCTGTGAACCAGGCGTATGCGGGTCACAGCGGGAGCCCTTTCAAGCAGTCTGCCTCTCAAGTCACACTCAAAGATGACGGTCACTATGTAACGGTTCCCACATGGCAGTTCTTCTACAAGCCCTTGGGTGGCGGCCGGACAGCGGTGCTTCTCATGAACCATGATCAGACCTTCCACGACTTGGTGCTCAACTTCAAAGACGTTCCTGGGCTGGCATGCCAGAAATGCACGGTGCGGTGTCTCTATGCGCACAGAGACTTGGGTGAGCACGAGCACAGCTTCACTGCCCAAGCTGTACAGTCTCATGACTCGCGAATGTTGATCCTGATGCCTGCACAAGCACAGGCCGTCGTCGTATAGACCTTAGACAAGCGAGACTCCTGGTTTACCGAAGGCTGCAACATTTGGAGATGAGTGCGATTGGCCATCGTCCGAGTTGCGAGCGCAAAAGAGGTCGGTAGGTCGGCAGGTCGGCAGGTCGGTAGGTCGGTAGGTCGGTAGGTGGGTAGGTGGGTCGGGCATGAAATAAATGACTTAAAACAAGTCCAGCTGCTGGTGCAAAAAAGCGCCTGAAGAAGTAGACTTATTCCATGAG